CAACCTTAATGATTCTATGATTCTAAAGCGTTTGACGCTTATTCCCACAGCCTCCTCCTAGACAAACTGGCAAGATACAGACTGGATGAGTGGTCAGCGAGATGGGTAGGGAATTGGCTCACAGGCCACGCTCAGAGGGTGGTGATCAGTGGCAGGCTATCACAAGTGGGGTCACCCAGGGATCGATACTGGGCCCCACGCTGTTCAATATCTTCATAAATGATCTGGATGATGGGATTGAAAGCACCCTCACCAAGTTTGCTGATGGGTGGTGAGGTGGACCACATTTTCAGCATTAATTCATTTATTTTGAATAAGCTGTATTTTCATGAAGTCATAGGTTTGCATTCATTATTGTTCTAGGATAAGCAAAGCCCTTATTCTACAGGCAGGATATCTGGTATTTTTTCTGAGGCCATTTAATTTTTGTACTTCTTTTTTTTTTTTTTTTTTTTTTCATGGAACTACTCACTCTTTCAGTAAAGGTAGTGTTTGTGGTTGCACAACATCTGTTTCCTGTTGTAGTCTATATTCTCACTGTGGTTTGCAGTATTCAGAATGGCCTCAGAATGTGAAACCCACACCACATTGTGGTTAAAGCAGCATAAACTGCTGGAGACACTGCCTCATTGCAGCAGAAGGTGGGTTTCTCATATGGGGGATTCTATGGGGCTAGGCTTCACTGTGATGAGCTGATCCATCTGGGGCTGGAGAAGGGGAATGAATGCATAAAACAGTATTGACTAGGACTCAGTTGTCACCTGAATTTCAGTATGGGAAGAGATGATGCTGAAATCCTTTGAAATTGGATGATTAGTGATTGTTTCTTTTTTCTTGCCCTTATTATATGTATCATCCCTATATCCGTTGCCACTTTCCTTCTGCCTTACACAAGACTGTTTGGTTCTGTAGCCTATTGACGAAATTCTATTCAAATCTCCTAAAATGCAGCTAAAGTGAGTGCAGACAATGTGGTGCCATGGAACTATTCGTATGGTGGTACCCAGCTGCTAATGGGCAGATGTTTATATTAAGTAACATTGCACAGATGGGCTCAGGTAAGATTGCGGTGGGAGTAGGGTGGCAGGTATGTGTAAGTACTTTCAGATAGGCGTCTCTTTTGTCTAGGTGGCATAAAGCTGTCTTTCAAAATAACCTGTATGTGGCAAAACAAAAATTAATTAAAAGCAGATACTTAATACTGAAGTCCTCCCTTCTCTTTTCCTGACTTTCTTTCAGAGTAAGAGGAGGCTTATTTGAACAGCTCCCCATTTAAACTTTGCTAACGGAAGTTCACCTCACACCATACACCTTCCAACTAATTCTCTTTACCAGTAGTTAAGCACCCCCTTAAATATAGAAGTTTCTTCCCTTTATAAGTACAAGGCAAAAAGTGTAGTATCTAAAGATGCTGCTTTGTGATAGTGATGTTTTAGTGGTTATTACTGTGTGGTTTTAGTTGATTCACTTTGCAACATCCACCTGTTCTGTATATCTGTTTGGTCTGCTTAGCAAGCACTAATTGTCATATATTAATTGGTTGCAAGCAAATGGCTCTTCTCCGTAGTTTTAAGAGGGAGGGGGAAACAAGTCATCACAGAAATGCAAGATGATTGTGTTATGGTTAGAAAAGGGGTGGTAGGCAAAAGGAGATGACCAGTTTTGCTTGGTGGTGGTGACGGTTTCTTGAAGGGATGGTGGGCTTAAGGACTATAACTCACAGTTTATCTTACTGTTAAATCTGTGTCCCTGGTTCTAAAGTTAACCATTAGTCTGTTGTTTAGCAACGTCAATTTGTCAAAACAGAGTGTAGGAGGCACGCTGCTAGGAATTGAGAGAGCCAGCAGATCTGAAATTTTCTGAAGTAGAATAAATGGAATAGCAGAGCTTGTTTTCAAAAGGAAGTCCAGAAATTAGGCAATTAATGCTGGGCTCTGAGCCCAGCTAAACAGTCTGTGATAGCAAAAGCTATGTGTTGGACTTGGTTATCAGTGTAAAGGGCATCATCTTATTTTTGTCATGCATGTGCATTAGTGCATGTGTAGAAGCGTGCCATAGACTACTAGATTGAAGATTTTTTGGTAAGCCAATTCCACAGAATAATTATGAGCTTTTTTTAAAAAAGTAAATATGGAGCTTATTCCTATATACCAGCAAGTATGCAGAGCGCCTTTCATTTTTCTGTAGGAAATGTGCACATAAAGATTCAATTCCCATTCTAACATACTAAGTGCAGTAATATCAGGAAGTTCATGACAGGGAGTTGTTTTAAGGAGAAGTTGAATTATTGTGAAGATTATAGCATTTTCTTTGACTTTTTTAGTGAACTTAAAAATATTTTATTAACATGCACATTATACTGTATGCTGAGAAAGGTAAGGGTTTCAGTTCTGTTTCTCTATTCCTTTCCTCCCTCCCCATCTGTGCTTGGGTGGGCAAAAGGTAGGAGTTGCTCCAAACTAACTTTCTAATTTCTCAAATTCTTCTGACCACAAAACATCATCCATCTAGCCGGAGTTATTAAACCAATTGATCCTGAAAGTTGTCATTGCACAAGTCTTTGGGTTTGAGCCATGGGAAGAATGGGAAATCATACAGACTTGTCTATGGCTATCTGAATTCCAGCAAGGCAAATGAGAGAGATTTGAAAACAGTGATTTAGTAAGTCACCCTTTTTCCAGTCTTTAACTTGGAACACCCTTGGGTAGTGGGAAGGACGTTTTAATGTTTAGGGATTAGTGCGCTACCTTGAATTTTGCGAATTGCATTGTTTTGGGAAGTTTTTACATTAAGGTTACGTTTTTTTCTTTTTTTGGAAGGGTAGTATACATGCTGTAAACTTAAACTATAAACTTGAAACAAGCAGAAATATTTCAGAAGGAACTTTTCTATAAAATTGCAGTGCTGAATCATTTTTAAGCTTCTCTTAAAACACAAGACTCTTCACTCCTGTTACTATGGTACTTTAAGGTACTTGATAACTTGAACATGCATACATATGTTTAATTAATCCTTTCAGTGCTTCTTTGAGGAAGTTGGGTATTACTTCTTTTTAGCAGTAGAGAAAAATGACACAGTAAATTCAAGTGTCTTGATCAAAGGCATGCAATTATTTACAGACTATTACTGTTCCTCCTAGTACAAAAAATACTGAACTTAATTTTGAAGAATGTAAAACTGGTTCTTTATTCAGACTTGGGAATATAAACATATTCTGTAGATCTTCTTGACTGTTTGCCTCCCAGAATTTATGTGGGGCCTCCTCTTACTGCTATCTGTAACCTAGGCAAAGCTCATTTGGGAGGGACTGTGGACTATGAGATGCTGAGCCAGGACTCCTTGACATTGTAAGCTTGTCTTCGTTCGTGTAAAACACAGTGTCTCCCATGTAAAACTAAATCAAGAGACATAAGTCAGAAATGAGAGAGAGAGGCAACTTCCAACAGGCATACACAATTATTAGTTCATAAAGCAAATATAAGGCATGTTATGTCATAATTTCACGTTATGATCTGCTTATGACAATAGCCTTATATATGAGGGATCCTCTGTGGTTTTTAGAATAAGTACCTGTTGAAATACAGTTTTATTAGACTGCTGCGTAACATTGATAGCATTTTAATGGCTAGGAGATTATTTTTGAATTTAAAGTTTAAGTGTGGAGCAGCTGGTTAATTACTCTCTGATAAATAATGACAGAATTATTCTATGTACGTAATAAGTTTGTGTTCGTGTGTATCCATAGGTCATGAACGCTGATGGAACTGGGAGAAGAGTTCTGGTGGAGGACAAGCTGCCTCATATCTTTGGATTCACACTGTTGGGAGACTATGTTTATTGGACAGACTGGCAAAGACGCAGTATTGAACGTGTGCATAAGCGCACGGCAGAAAGAGAGATCATCATAGATCAACTGCCTGATCTAATGGGTCTGAAAGCTACAAATGTCCGCCAGATAATTGGTGAGTGAGACTGCTACTCAGGCAAGTAAAATGAAATAGAAAATTTCAGCAGTGCTGTTCTGCAGGTATCGCTTTGTACCAGGTCAGATTTTTAGAAATGGGCAGAATCCATTTTTATTGCATGATAACTGCAGACTGCAGTTTGATGGGGTGGGGTAGGTCTTTTGTAAGGTGCTTCAGTTCTCTAACTTGGAAAAATATCAGCTAGAAAATGACCAGGCACCCCCCCAAAATGAATGATTTTCTGCCGCTTAGGGAATTGGAGCAGCTCATAGGTCTGAACAGCCCTGGATCCAGTAAGGGGAGAAGAAGGATCATGGAAAATGAGAACTTCTCTTTGTAACAGCCAGCTATTAGATTAGCACAGCTGTTTATGAAACTGCAGCTGTAGCAGCTTTTCATCTTGCAATCTGAACATGTGCTCCCGGTATGCAAAAGCTAAGAATGAGCCAGTTTTAGTCTGTCAGTGCTTTTCACATTAATACTGCAAAATACTTCAGTGGTTTTCATCATCTTTAAAAATAACTAGAAGTACTTTCTGCCCTGTAGTGTCTGTGGTGTAAAAATGCAGGATCTAGCTTTAAATTGGCTATGGTTGTAACTGTAGCATCACAGAACTCATCACATTTCCTGAATATCCTGCTGTGTGAATAGGGCTTGTAGCTTCTTGCTGCCCTGTCTGGATTGCACCCCGGGGAATTAGTCAAATGTAGTTGAGGTGTATCTTTGCATTGCTGCTACCATGTTAACAAGATGCCGTAAGTAAGGTGCATGTGTTTTAAATGCAGCTCTTTTTCCAACTGTTTGGCTAATTGAGCTTCGTAATGGTGGCCTCTCTTAGTGGGTGGATTTCCAGCATGTGCAGGTATACAAGTTAGTATTAGAGAGAGCTGCTTTACTAGCATCCTGGAGAGACGAGGCCATTGAATGGATGTGAAAATAGATCTGCAAATTTTTCATCTCTAAGAACACAATTGGGGTGTGTAACTGACCATTGTGCTGTAAAAGGTAGCAGAACATATGCTTGCTTACTTACATACTTACCGTCCATTCAGTGCTTGTGCTGTGAATCATGAACATAAGTAGCTGTTGGAGTCCAGATCCCTTTCCCAAATGCTGGATTTGCTTCATGCGGTCAGGAAAACAAGTACTGGCTTTCTAGCCAAGTAGAGTAACATCTATCTAAAGGATTACAGGAAATGAACAAAAATTAATTCATTCAGAGAATAAATGGTGAAAAACTATATGTATTTCTTAAAGGACTCATAGTGTCGTCGATGCATGTGAGGATTGGCTTCATCTTCCCACTGGAGTCTATTTGCAATGATTGCTTTTGCTTTTGTTGCGTGCTTAGGTACAAACCCTTGTGCAGAGGATAACGGCGGCTGCAGCCATCTTTGTCTGTACAGACCACAAGGCCTTCGCTGCGCTTGCCCCATAGGCTTAGAGCTCATCAATGATATGAAGACGTGCATCGTCCCAGAAGCTTTCCTGCTGTTTTCTCGGAGAGCAGATATCAGACGAATCTCTTTAGAAACGAACAACAACAACGTTGCTATTCCACTCACTGGAGTCAAGGAAGCTTCTGCTCTGGATTTTGATGTGACAGACAATCGGATTTACTGGACTGACATTTCACTGAAGGTAGAGATGGAAGATAATTCCATTTATTCCATATTGGCTATTAAGTTGTTACAAAGTTCTTGAGATACTTAAGAATGGATCGACAAATGCGATTTACGAGATTCAAGGGATAGGTAAAAGAGCTTGTTCTAACTAAGTATGGCATACATTTTCATTATACTAGCAGCATTCTTTCCTATAAATCATTTAAATCTAATGTATACATTTTCACATAAAGGGTAAGTTTGCAAAAATAAAGGTTTTGGCAGAAAGCTGAGAAGAGTGCCATATGGCAGGAGGTTTCGGGGATCAGAGATGTTTTGCCAGATATGTTTAATGGGGAGAAGCCTTGTCTTGGGTCAGGAAGTGAAAATGGGTCTTACCTGTTCATTAACTTATATAGCTACTGCATGTGTGACATATTATGAATCACAGGCTTTGTAAAACAGGTCTAGGGTCTAGACTGACAAATCGGAAAAGGTTGAGGGTAGGTGTTTAAATGTGGTGGTTAGTGGAGTGACAGAAATCTGTGTATTGTCTGTCTGTTATCTGTGTTATCAGTGAGTCTACTTATTCCCTTTGTTTTTCATGGGTTGTAGATGTAGTCAGAATTGTGAGCACCAAAAATTAGTTTTTAATAAAAGAAAGTTTTCTGCAATTGGGTTGAGACCTGTGCCAACAATAACTCATGGACCTTTGCAACTGAAGAATCATAAAAGTTAAAAACACAGAGTTTAAGTGAGTTTGAGAGAGGTGACTTGGCTGAATTCTTTAGGTATGGTATTCATTTGAGCTGTGTTTGAAATAAAAATAAAGCAATGATCTGATCAATTATTAAGGGTGTTACAGATGAAGACTGAGATAAACTTCCCTGCTGTGTACTGTCACAAACTGGCATAATTAGCAGGTAGCATCCACACTGGGAAGTAAACAAAAAATCAGTCTTTGTGTTAACTTCTGATGCGTTACAAGTATGAGGAGTGTGTGTGGAGGGGAATATTAAGGACACAGAAGGGAAGCCCATGTTTGCCAAAAAGAATTTTGTACCATCCTAACATTATTCCTTTACTTTCAGGCTTATAAGTGGTCATAGTAAATCAGGGAATGCCTAAACTCTGATATGTTATTAAAATATAATTCTGGCTGTATCTGCTATCACAGGCTGATGATCCATGATGGCAAGAGTTAAAAGAAGTCTTTTGAATAAAAGACCAAGAAGAAATTATGCTTAGTGAAATTAAATTAAACCATCAGTACTGAAGCACTTGCATAGTGAGCTAATCAACCATTAGGTGGTTTTCTTCTATTTGCAGTTCTATCCTGAACTTTTTCATTAGGCTGCTTTAAGTATTGTTCCATGCTATAATGTTGATGCTTTTGTATAGTCCTGGGAGAGGCAAAATATTTCCCCCTCGAAGTTGGCAGTAAGTTATTAAGGTCACTTTGGCATCTAGACTGCTTAATTGAACCAGACTAGTTATCCCATTTATTTCCCCAGTGAAACACTATTGTAATTGACACAGAATACATTCATAGAGTACAGTAAATCATTACTTCTGAATAGCAGCATTGTTTGCCTTGCAAATAAGTAGCATATTGTAAGATCCTCTTTCCTATGAGATGCCTAAAATCTGAAAGTGTTTAAAATGCAACAAAGAAAACAACCAGCCCAATGACAGACTGGTAAAATTTCTAATTTGCCTGTGTATCTTTGTATCCCTGCAGACCATCAGCAGAGCGTTTATGAATGGCAGCTCACTGGAACACGTTGTGGAGTTTGGCTTGGATTACCCAGAAGGCATGGCCGTAGATTGGCTGGGGAAGAACTTGTATTGGGCTGATACTGGAACAAATCGTATAGAAGTGTCAAAGCTGGATGGACAGCATCGCCAAGTGCTGGTGTGGAAAGATCTTGACAGTCCCCGGGCATTGGCACTGGACCCTGCTGAGGGGTAACTTGCTGATTTAATTTTATGTTTATGAACGGTGAAAAACAACATTGTAATGCTTCCTCTAGGGCATGTTAGTTAGGCGCTGCGTGTAAATCCTGAGAGAACTGAGCTGGGGAATACAACCTGGTAATTTAGAGTATGAGGGCTGGAGGAATACGCTCTTAATGTCCTGAATAATCATTAAGAATACTACAAAAAGAATCAGAGCAACTCATTAAAAAGGGATTTATATTTAGTTTTTTAATTAACCACAGAATCAAAGTAGTTTTAGGTTTATGGAATTCATTAATTAGAAAAGGACTGTAGCATTGAAAAGAAAATATTTGTTCTTTTAAAAATGAGGATCCTTTTTATCACAAGTTAGGGTCCAAGAAAGGTATTAAATGATTTAACTTGAGAGTAGGGGAGTGAAGCTTATTCTCTGAGAATAAGGAAGGTGTTTGTTTCTTCAGATAAGGGAGCCTTTTTAGTTGGTATGGACAAGAGAAGCAAGGACAGAGAAAGACTGGAAACAATTATACCCATGTATCCCCAAAATGAAAGATTTCCTGAGGAGAAACTTCTCAGCTGGATTCGAATGTAATAGCAAAAGTAGGGCAATAAGCAGGGGGAGGGAGGAAGGAGCGAGGCAAGGCAAGGCAAAACTATTTAGCTTCTGAAATAGCTCTTCTACAATGAAATGCTCATTTGACATTAACTAATTACTGCAGAACCTTTTTGAGGTTATACCAACATTGTATTATTCCTATTTTACAAATGAGGGAACTTAATTTTCAAGTGTTAGGACATTATCACAGTTTCCAGTGACGCTGCAAGAGTTACAGCAATGCAGAGAACTCTGCACCACTCAAACACATTCTTTCTGCTTCATTTCAACAAGTGGTGGCAACTGTCGCAGTGCTTAGTCAAAAGGAGTTCTGCGCTGCCCCCAGTGGGACACATAGATGGGGTTCAGCCCTGACGTGCCAGGGGTTGCCTGGACAAGTACATCAGAGGGCATCCAAGACCAGATTGTTAGATGCAGTTACTCAGTTGTAACAAAAGGTTGCTACGGATGATTCTGGTTTTGCATTGGGAATAGTTTTTTCCAAGGATTATAATTCAATGCTTTGTCTCTACAGACCAGAAGAAAAAATTATTTTATATTTGAGCCCGAATGCCTGCTTTTCCTTTTGCCTTCTAGCTGAGCTATGTTGTTGTACTTTATATGGAAGTTTTCATGGTATTGCTACCATGGGGGCAATTCTAACACTTAGGTCCATGCTGTGCACAACTTGCAAAATTTATGCACAAAATACTTGCAAAATTTGAAAGGAAAGATTTGCAAGTATTCCTGGTGTCTAAAGAATAGCTCCCCCTTGATCATGAGTTTCTGAAGGAACCTTTCCCACTGTGTGGTTGGTTGAAATTAAAAACATTTCACAGGTGTTTGTTACTAAAGGTATTAAAGGATAAAGGTGTAAACATTGGCTAGCTATGTCTCACTCATTTTTAAAATGGTATTGGCTTTACATTTTGGAAGAAGTGACTAACTACTTGACACCAAATGTCAAATATACAGCCCTCTACTGTGTCAAATGAGGCATAAACTGGCATGTGAGTATGTAATAGTTTGTACTTTTGCTCCAGTGGAAATGCCATACAGTTTTGTGTTATTCTACCCTCCGCTGAAATGCAACACACTTACATGGCTGATTGACTTAGGTGCGTGGAGATGAGCAGTGGCACCTATTAACGAAAGTACTCTGCATATCCTACCTTTTTGTATTCCTTCATTTGATGGACAATTGAATAGAAACAGAAGCTAAATGCCATGGAAAATATCTTGCTAAATAACCAGGTATAAATGAATGTGCCCACCTGCCAACCTTTTGCCTCTTAACTGATGTGCATGGATTCGTTAAGATTGAAGTGCTTTCATAGGGAACTTGCTGGTGAAAATCCAGCTCCAAGTGGAAAAAACAATGTTGGAAACATTTTGAGGAAACCTGACTCACTTCCTTGCTTACATTCTGAAAAAACGTTTAGTGTAATGGAGCTTAATAAATGCTCAAATTTACAGCTCTTGTTTTTCTCTTATTCTTTTTAAGGATTTTTGTTTTGTTTTGTTTCTCCTCTTGAGTTCTCTTTTGGATAAATGTGACTGATTTTTTTCCTTTTGCCCTTTTAATCAGGTTTATGTACTGGACTGAATGGGGTGGTAAACCAAAGATTGATAGAGCTGCTATGGACGGCACTGAGCGGACTACTTTGGTACCGAATGTGGGACGTGCTAACGGCCTAACTATTGATTATGCTAAAAGACGACTGTACTGGACCGACCTCGACACCAACCTGATAGAATCCTCCAACATGCTAGGTGAGCCCCAGAGCCCTGGGCAGCATCGTGGGGATGCTGCTGCTTTTTCACAGTTCCCTGTGGCAAATTATTGCTTAAATAATGGAAAGATACATGTCTTAAGGCAAAAATAGATTTTTCCAAACTCACACACCTTTACCATTTGCTTCTATAATTGATGTTTATGCAACACAGCATTTAGAGAGGTCTCGATTTTTCTTGTAGGTAATCTAATTGCTCACAAAGTTAAAATTATACAAGCTGTACATGTTCTCAGTTATATGTAGGACAAAGCTGTCAACTTCCAGTGTTTTGGAGAGTCTTGTTTTGCTGCTCCGAAGATTGCTGGCAGATACATAACAAACACTTCATCATCTGTAGAAAGGTAGAGAGAAAGCCAGGGTAACAACAGTTTATTGGACAGTTTTTGCAATGTAATTTAATACAATTTGCTTTTTAATCTTTGTTGGTATCCTCAGGGTTCAGGCATTTTTTTCCCAGTATATCCTGCATGTTAAAGGCTTTTCCTGGTTAGTACTGGTCACCAGGGGGGCGCGCTCTCATACTGGGCTCTGTGTTATTGTTTTATAAACTGGTCATTACGGCTAAATGGAGGTGGAATATATTATTCTTTCACTGTCCCAGGGATAGTGTACTGAGGACCCAAGCCCCCTCAGGTTTGCATGTTGTTAACATGTTAACATCTCGGTACCCACAGGAGTGGACTGCCTTGTTGTGTGCCAGATCAGTCAGATTAGTTTTATCACTAGCCAATATTTAAAGCTAAAGGAGTTGGTCTACTTTAAACAGTACATTCGCATTACTGGAACAAGGCTAGAAAAAGATCAAAACAGGAAAATGCATTACTAGGAATTATATGTGATGTAAAAGGTTTTCTTCAGCTTCTCGTGTATTTTGGTATGCTGTTGGGGCTGGCTCAGTGTTCCCCTGTTTTCTGTGGAACTGGACACACCGTTAGAATTTCATCTTCCCTGTGCCTGTGGCTAGTGACAGCAGAGCGCAGGGCTGTGCATCTGCCTCTTCTCTGCACAAAGAGGGAATGACTTCTTGCTTCATCATCTCCCGTTCACTTTCTGTGACTAGACAGCAGGACATCCCATGTTAATGAAGTGGTTGAAATAACGTGAAATAATCATTTCCCCTCCATGCCCTGCTCCTTAAGGTTTCTTAACATTTCCACGGTATACACAATTAACTGTTTCCTACCTTGACTTTCTGACTGCTCCTTCCTGTTACAGCATTCCAGAGACAGATGAGTTTAACCTTGTGCATTTCATTTTTTCTTGTAATACAGCGTAGAATCTTATTAAGCTCATAACAATTCTGTCTCTGTAAGCAGTGGGCAGAGATCCAAATGTGGCGTGAGAGATGCTGAACTGGGAATACATTGTCAGGATCCTGCCTCCTTCCGTGGGATCCTGTTTGTTTCTGGGAGGAGGGAAAGGACAGAATCTTTTTGAGGACCCTTGATTATTTTCAAGAGTGAGGCTTTTTTCTTTAGTAAAATCCATTCTGTTCTGAGTCACAAGCAGGATTAGTACGTTTCTGTGATAGGCTCTGAGACTTCAGACTTACACATCGCTTCATAATTTACTTTTGTAATAATGAAATAGTAACTTTAAAGTAATTAAAGTTCTAACCTTTCTGTGCAGGGGACATGTCTAACAGCATTAAACGGCATCTCCTTTGTCCCCCAATAATTCTGCTTTTTTTCCTCCCTTCCTTTTTGGAAACAGGCCTTGACCGTGAGATTATAGCTGATGACTTGCCTCACCCATTCGGCTTGACTCAGTATCAGGATTACATTTACTGGACAGACTGGAGCCGGCGTAGCATTGAACGAGCCAACAAGACCAGTGGACAGAACCGAACTATCATCCAAGGGCATTTGGATTACGTTATGGACATCTTGGTCTTCCATTCCTCCAGGCAGGCAGGCTGGAATGAGTGTGCCTCTAGCAACGGCCACTGCTCTCACCTGTGCTTAGCAGTCCCTGTTGGTGGTTTTGTCTGTGGCTGCCCAGCTCACTATTCCTTGAACTCTGACAACAGGACTTGTAGTGGTAAGCCGTAATGAATGGAAATAAAACAGAGAGGCAGATGTGTTTTGTAACAGATACAAGCATTGTACTTGGAGGAAAGAAGAGGTTTTTTTTTACGTGGGATGGTAAAGCTTGCTTTGCCGATAGGCCAAGTTAACGCCAGTTTCTATTTTTAATACTGGATGTGTATTTGAAAAATTACTGGTTCCCTAGCGTCCCTTCCTCCATAGGAAGCAGGGTATATTTAAATATAATTTTCTAATACTAAAATCTACTCACTTTTCAGAGAAGATAGGATATTGAAAGCAAAAAAAAAAATCTTGCAACAGACCAGTATCGCAGTAAAATAAGAAGAGTGGCTGTAGTGAATCTTTTTAATGACTCAGCTAAATCTGTGTAAGCAGGAAAGCTCAAAATGCTTTTGGGTTTCTCTCTGTCTGTCAACCCTTCGCAAGTGCTTGCTTGCTTATTTATCTGCTTATTTATTTATAATCTTGCCTGACATAAAGGATATATGATAGTTTGGTCTGTATTCTGGCCTTCGCGTAGCCCGTAGGTGGTCAAGATTTAATTCTGTAGTAGCTGTGTTTGCTGGCTGATGAGATGCTGAGGTGGGTCACTCTCATACCCCCAAAAGTGTTTCTTCCTCAGCGAGGAGAGGCTTGGCTCCACGGTCTCCCCAGCACTTCAGATTTCTGATCTCAGTGCAGCCAAGCCCCATTTTTCTTTATTGTTGTGCAGAATACGAACCGCAAGGCCGCTCAGGCTGTGTGTAATTAGTTTCTAACCAAATAATTTATCCATCTCTCAATAACTGGCTGCCAGTGAAGCTCTCATAATTTTGGCAGCCACACCGTATGGCTGATTTCCACTGGTGTCATTCAGATTAGTCAGTGGGTGAAGAGATTCATGGTACGGAGAGACAGATTGTATCTCGTCTGCATTATGCATGAGTAGAGAGATCCAACTGTTGTTTTAAAGCCAAAAGCAGGGCAGCTTGTTCCACGAATGCCACCTCATGGCATTTTTTGAAAATAATGCTCTTTGGAAGACCCTGCTTTTCCACCTCCCCATGTGTCCTGTACTCCTCCTTTCCTTTTTTATTACAAGGGGCGCTTGCATGACAACTGGATTTTTTGAACTCTAATACTCTTACACCTTCCTGGAAGTTAGAGACACGGCTGGCACCTCTCTGGTGATTACTGTGATTTTGTAGGTGGAGGAATTTGACTTCCAGCAGAGAATAAGTAGCAAAATGATCAAAGGTCATGTTTTCTTGTGAAAATGCTCTTGGAAACAAAGGAAGGAGAAAAATACAGGAAATATGTTGTGAGCAAATAGAACCATTTCCCCATGGTACAGTTCAGGGCTGTTTGTGAGGTATTAGGAGTTTTCCTTCTGCCATGTTCAAACCTGGGAACTTTCCAACTTCTCATTTGTAGGTAATTGGAGACTTAGGCTTCTCCGTATAATTTAATTTTTCTCTTGGCCACTATAATTGGAGCATGAATTGTTTTAACTTTCTCTTGCCTGTTTTACTTGCTCCTGAATGTTATTATTAGTCCAAGCCCTGTCTAGAGGCCAGTTTCTCCCTTCTGGATCACCCTGCTCATGCTTGCATAGATTCTTTTAATTACGGGAAGGACACACTGCTCTGATGAGATCTTGGTATCTCATCAGATCTACCATGTGTCATGAAGTTTGAAGGCAGTGTTACACAGGGGACATGCTTGTTGCACTTCATTTGCCTGCCAAAAATATAGTCAAAATATGTGACTATTGGGAGGGAGAATGATGAAAACTGGGCAGGGATTTCTGAAATTGGGACTGTTTCAGAGATGTGGGGACTCAAGGGGGGAAATTCTGCTGTTACTTTTTATAATGAGCCATCAATTCAAAGTTGGAAGCCAGGCAATCTCAGACAGTGAGAGGGTGTCTTTGGGGAAAAGTGGAAAGGATTTTAGGTGCTTATGATGGTATGTTTATCTGCACTGTTTTATCTTAAGCTTTTTTCCCTTTCCATTACTCTCTTAACTGCTTGATAAGAATACTGATGTTTTCTGAATCTATTATTTTGCTGTACACATTCAGTATAAACTTTGCTTTGCTTTTTTTGGTGCTTTCTTCTATAGTTTAGAGCTAAGTAGAAGGTGGCTTAAATTATTGGAGAAACGCTTGGAGGGGAAATACAGGTTTTCCAGAAGGCAAAAATACCTTGCAATTAGGCCTGATTGTTATAGGATGTTAGGACTGAGTGTTAGTTACCAAGGAAACTCCACCCCACCTTTTTTTTTTTTTTTCCTAGCAGCCAGAATAAATGTTCAAAGTGTATGCCTAAAATAACAAAGCAAGGTGATGATGTTCTCTGGAAGACTTTTGCTACCTCCCCTTTCCAAGGTGCTGCCTTACCTGTTTTACAGGCTGGATTGAATGAGTGCAGTGTCCCACTGCTAATCTCTCCAGACTTGTGCTATAGAGAATTGATTGTACAAACTTCAGGGAGGCTGCAAACTGCATTTCTGGCTGCTGGCTCTTGTGCCGTCTTGCACAGCAGTGGCTCCAGGTAGACCATTATTGAAAAGAACGCTGTGAAAAGAGAAAATGCTTTAACTACCTCCTCTGATTTCTGACCCAGTTATGTAATACAGGGAAAATTTCTTTTTAACAATGTATTAAATGCCTTGTGCACTTACTGTAAGATCCAGCTGGTAAACTACAGCTGTATGGGGTGGGGAAGTCTTATTTTCTGATGTTTGATGGTATTTATAAGAAAAAAAATCATTTGTCCAGCAAATTTTTGCTGGGTGTCTGGAAAGCTGGAGCAGAGCATCAGATTTGTTTCTGGTTGCAGGTTAGCATTCCCAGATGAGCACCTAGAAATAAGCAAGATGTATAAATTTGAGAAGAGTGAATAGATTTTTTTCCAAAAACGCAGCCTGCACACACCTAAGAGATTTTCCTGTGAATTAGTTGTTTCATTCTGGTGCAGGCAGAAAGAGGGTTTGTGGGAACAGGACTAAACCACTCTAGTGGTAATCTCTGTTCCCTGGGACCTCTAAATAAGGAACCATTGCTGGCTTTTGCTCAGCTTCCTTTGCAAGTAGAAGTGTACCTAGCAAAATGTTCAACTTCAGAATAGTGGAGCTGCATTTCCCTGGGACCCCTTTAGAAAGAAAATTGACAGTTCCTTGAGAGGCATGGCTGACCGTTCTTCTTTGAGGTGATTTTGAAAGAAGTCTTCACATTCATTAGTCCTGCAACTTACAAAATTATCTTTGCCTGTCACATCCACGTTCAGACATTTATAGTAAAAAGAGGTAAATTGAAAGGCTTTCCAAACTGATCAGACATTGGGATTTTTATGTTTTGTTTTTGTTTTGTTTTCTTTTTTTGTTTGTTTTTTTTTTTTCTTTTGGCAAAGGAAGGGGGAGAAGGGGAACGAAATAATAGATACCGTCTGGTTATATGTAGTAGTTGTCATTATTGAACATACAAATACCCAACATTATTGCTATGTGTAACCCTTTCACCCTTCTTGTTTTTTTAACCCATCAAGCTCCTACAACCTTTCTGTTGTTCAGTCAGAAGAATGCAATTAATCGCATGGTGATAGATGAGCAGCAGAGTCCAGATATCATACTCCCTATCCATAGTCTCAGGAACGTTCGAGCCATTGATTATGACCCCCTGGATAAGCAGCTGTACTGGATTGATTCTCGGCAGAACATCATCCGCAAGGCACAGGAAGACGGCAGCCAGGTATCCTGCGGGTGATGGAATTACTAAAAGATGAGGAAGGCATGCCCTACACCCAGCAATGAATGATTGTACATGAATAATTTAGATATATGGACTTCCTGTAGATTACTAGCTGTCATTTGGCAAAACAAGTGGCATCTGGAGTTTCTGGAGTCCTCAGCCAGTAATCTGGGAGGTGCAGCAGGAAATAAAATGTGGAAAACTAAGGCCAACTTAAAGATACTGTTGTTTACACTGCATTATTCGTTCAACACCGTCTTTTGGCTGGGGGCTGTTGGAAACCCATATTTGAGAGAAGTGAAACATGGATGGGAAGGTTCTTGGGAGAAACGGAGTGTGTCAGAGAGAAGGAAGAGTTGCCAGTGAGCAGGGTGCAGGGGCATTGACTCTGAAATGAAGAGGGTGGGACTTTGTGAGCACACAGCTGTGTCTGAAGCCTCCCGGGTTCTGGTGGGGATAGGAGGAGAGTTGTCAGTCACTGAGCAAGGAGTTTGAAACTAGTGACCTGTAAGAGATGTAGCAGGCTTGGGAAAATGTATTTGACTGGGGAATACAGGAAAAGTAGAGTAGGGTAGAAGGCAAAAGGTGATGCAGGTTTAGTGAGGTTAATTGTGAGCAATGACTGCTTATTCATTTTCACATTTTAAAGTAGATTTTTTTCTTCCTGATTTTTTGAATGGGGGAGGAGCAGGAGACTAAGATGAACAACACGGAGGTGCTATATTCAGTTTAATTTGTAAGAGAGTGTGGTTTCTGGTGGCGGGTGTGGTGGTAGTTGGATCCTGGTGAAACGCCCTTCAGCTTTAACTCTTAATTTAGCAATGGTTTTAATTTTGGAATATTTAAATAATTTAACACCCAAAACTAGTCAAAGGCACCAGGTTTTTGCCAGCTTCAGCAGAATAAACAAATGTAAGACTAGTAGGCACACCCTTTCATAGAGGTGACAAGCCAAATAAAGTTAGGCAAATTTTATGGTGAAGTTTAATTTGGGGGTGAGAGAGTGGAGGCTGCTCACCTCAAAAGCATGAAGTTTTCCAAAAAGATTATGTAAGGCCGTGTTTTGTGAGTTATTAATCCTCTTAAGATTTTTTGAGAAGTTCATGAAAGATGTCAGTTAGGTTCACCTTTCACTATAGGGAGACTATGCAGTTTCTTTCTTAAAAAAAAAAAAAAAAAAAAAAATTAAAAAAAAGAAAGGCATGTGAACTCCAGAGGTCTGGACCAGTAGAAGGCAAGAACTTTGAAGCAGAAAGGTGTTAGCTGGAAATGCTCTAAAGTCACTGTCATATGCTAGCTGATGTCCTTTCTGTCTCTTGGCAGAGTTGCCTTCCCATTTATTATTCATCCTTATGTTATGTCCCCCAACTGTGATGGCAGTGATGGTGGAGAAGAATAAGGCAAGAATTTCAAGTGCTGTCTGGTCTCACTTTGCCTGTGTTTTTATCTATTCAGCTGCAGCTTTGGGAATTAGTGGTCATGCGTTTCTGTTGTAGAGTGCTAAATGTGCTGGGTTTGGGTCTATCCAAACTGAACTTAGAGTTGTCAAGAAAGCAGAGGAAACATGGAAGCTGACCCTGAATCTTCAACGCCAAGGCAATTTGGACTTGCTAAGTCAAACTTGCTAAGTCTTATGAGCTGCAGTCAACTTACATGATTGCCATTACAACAAACCATCAGGACTAAGTGTCTATATCTGATCAAAGGTGTTGGTGGGGTGTCTCCTTACTTTATGATAGTATTTTGGCTGCCTCCTTTTGCTGAGGAGTAGTTTGATGTGGTGCATCCATAGCAAATAAAATCGCTCACGTTGAATCACATTTAAATGCTCTTCTGTGGGTTGTTTTTCTTTTCTTTGTAGAGCCTCACTGTTGTGACAAGTCCAGTTCCCAATCAGAACCTAGATATGCAGCCTTATGACCTGAGCATTGACATCTACAGCCGCTATATCTACTGGACCTGCGAAGCTACTAATGTGATCAATGTGACACGCCTGGATGGAAGACCCATGGGAGTAGTGCTCAAAGGAGATCAAGATAGGCCCAGGGCCATTGTGGTGAATCCAGAGAAAGGGTATGTAGCTGAAATAGTGATGTGGGGAAATTCAGGCTGAAGGTCTTGAGAATCAAATTATTTTCTTGCTGCTGGTTGGTTTCTGTTTGTCAGAATAAAAACATCTTTGACATTTGTTAAGATGTCTTGGTCATATAGCAAAAACGTGGAAAGATCAAATAAACTTTCTTCCTCTAATCATTCCTATTCCAGATACATGTATTTCACCAACCTACAAGAAAGGTCTCCTAAAATTGAGAGAGCAGCATTGGATGGAACTGAACGAGAGGTCCTTTTTTTCAGTGGTTTGAGCAAGCCCATAGCCTTAGCTATTGACAGCCAGCTAGGCAAGTTGTTCTGGGCTGATTCAGACCTGCGGAGAATTGAAAGCAGTGACCTTTCAGGTAGAGTAGCACTTTAATTCAGTGATTCATTTGTGTGGTGTGGGTGTGGGGGAATGCAGAGAAAGGTGTCGTCTTTCCCTTCCTACTATAAACAGTCTGTACTGTGATTCTAATCGCTCCCTAAATTCCCAGCCAGGGAATGTGCATGATTCATGCAGCGTGCCTTTACAGTCTCATGCCTCTATCTATGATTTGCATTATTAATTGCTCCACATGCTATTTACTTCAGTTTCTCACTGCAAGACCTTTGTGTGGTTTCCCAAAGTCTGTTCATAAATAAATTGCAGCAGTTTTGGAAAGGGGAGGGAGAGGGTTGTTTTTAAAGGCATTGGTTTTGGTGCAGTAATCTGTCAATCAGAGGAAAGTTTCCCATTAGTGGGAAAATCTTTTCTGCAGAGTTAAAGCAGCAGGTGTGCAGATCACTTATGTACCTGTCATTTAGGGTGAAATGATGTGAGAAGGATAGAGTAGATCTAACATCTCTCTGTTCTCAAAAGGCAAAAAACTCCCTCTTCCAGCTATGGAGTTCTCTTTGCCTGCTCCCTAAGGTTGGGTATGCTGCTTGTCTGACCTCCTTTATGACTTGATTCAGCTCACTTATCCACATAAGCAAAATAATAACTTAACAACAATATACAGAGAAAGAGAAATAGAGAACAGTGTTCTATTGGTTTGGAAAGCTGAATTGGTTCAGCAAGAGTCCAGCAAGCAACCAGAACTGGAGCAAGAGAAGAGGTAAAATCATGCAGTCAGACTGGGTGAGAGAGACTGAGATGTCTCTTATTGACTAGCCAGATCCAGCTCAGCTGTCTCATGTGGCTTTGGTAGTAATTTGTTGTATGAGCTGGGCTGGATGTTGCTGATGGGGGAGCACCAAGATGTTCTGAGTGCATACACACCCATCTCTGTTAGGTGATGGGGTATATGCCCCCCTCGCTCTGCTGCTAGTGAAGGGCAGTGGCAGAATTTTTCCTTCCTCTGCAGTAAGTCCATCCCCAGTTTGAATAGTTCATGTCCTTGTAATTGAGCTGAGTGTTACTCTACTATCAGAAGCATAAGTACATGCGTAAGGAAATAAGGACACACTTTGCAATCTGTGAGCAAGTTTGAAAACTTAGCGAGAGTATGGTAGTTCATAGTAATGTCTTTCACTGATGACACGATACCTTCATTCAAAGTAGCAGCATGTAATCCCACTGACACCAGTGTGATTTTTCAGGCTTTTGTTAAGCTGCTAGAATAAGCTTTTGTTTTGGAAAACATTTCAGTTTTTCTAGAAGATTGGAATTGAGGCTCAGCAACACAGTAATTTTTTTCAGTGATTGACATGTTGTGTCACTGGAAGATTCAGGGTCACTAATGAACTGCGATATCCTGATTGTTTACTATTTTAAAACACAGGACATAAGCTGAGCTGAGTTAGTGAATTGTTTTTTTAAAAAAAAGCGGTATGGTGTATCCCAGTATGTTCTAGGCTATCCCACATCCAAGGTCTGCATGAGTAAAGTAATGGGCAGCAGCAGAAGATCATATGTGCTTTGTTTCTGTCTTTATGTCTGTTACCTGCGGGAAAATAGGACACCAGAGGAGGAGATGGGTCTAAATTTTAAGCTAGTCTGTTTTTAATGATTCTGCATTTTTTTTTTTAAAGATGTGGCTGTTGGATCACCAATGTTGTGTAGTAAAAGCTTGCCATATTTTCAAAGAACATGAAGAAAAATCATTCCAAAACCTCTCTTGCTTTTTGGCATTTGCACCACAAATAGATTGCTATAATCACCACGGTAAATTGCTAACTGCTGAGATGCATTCCTGTGCTTAGGAATGCTGATTAATAGGCTCTTTTGATGGGCAGAGTAATTTTTCTGCATGTTAGCTTCTTAAAAACATGCACAGTCTCTTGCTCTGTCGACTGTAGATGCCGGTACCCATAAAGAGAAGGAGAGTTAGAACGCCTTTTATGTGATGCAGTCCTTCTCTTCCTCCCTGTCCTTCAGGCATGCAGTTAGGACTCGGTTATGCTGCCCAAATGGGAGATCCTATTGAAGCTAACCAGATTCTTCACATGATTAAGGGGTTGTTTATGAAAAGATGACTGGAATTAGCTCCCTACCATGGAAACTATTTGGAAATTACTTCTTCTATTCCAGAATAATTAGTGTGATTTGGAAATGTCTAATGATTCTGGAATTAAGTCATTTTTATTTGGAAATAGAATGAGCTACGGGTGTGTCCTGATTGTTGCATTTATTTGTTTGTTTTTAAGTCTTTTTGTAAAAGGTATTGCTGGAAAGAGAATGGTGATGCCAGGAGACAAAGCTCCTCTTAATCACATCTCCTTTCATCTGACATTCCCAATAAAGGGGACTAGCACCCTGATGAGCCAGCTTCGGATTTTATTGTTGGTTTATGGAAGGAGGGATTTCAGTGTCTCTGTTTAGTCAGAAATAGTCAGTTACACTTGGTCACAAATATTAAAAAGAAAGATTAAGACATTAAGGGAGTGAAAATTTTAAGCTTCAGAGCTTTAGGAGCATACTGCAAAATGCCATGCTGATTGACATGGGCATGGCAGAGCAGGGCATGTAGAGACTCCATTTGGGTAGGTCAAGGTCTTAGTTTTAACTATATTCGTTCCTGTCATCTTTGCATTTTCCCGTATTCCCGGCTTAGCTTTTCTTCTCCTTGAGATGCAGGTTGCTGTTTCTTACCTTTTCCCTATACAATGAGTCATGTTCATGGGGGTTAATAGACGGTTGCAGTTATTTAGTTTGACTTGCATCACTCAGTCTATTAATTTCTACATCAGTCTGGGTATAGCCTCCTTCAGAATCCATCAACACCTTTTCTTGATCAGATCATTGCTGGTGTTGTTCCAAAGTGGTGGGTGAGAGCCCAGTCTAGCTGAGGATTAATATCTGAATTTCCGTGTTCTGCTTCAGATGTTACCACTTGCTAAATGTTTGGAAGGTTACTTAACTTCTGAGCTCTGTATGCATTTAGTGAAAAGGAGATAAATATATTTTTTTATAGCTGAATTTGTTTGTGCGTCATCATCACTGACATACTGTTGATTAAATTCTCAAGAAGCCAAAGAACATTTTTTCTACTAATCAAAACAGAGGGATAGAACCTACTCAAATTATAAAAACATAAAATATATGTGTCTTTTGTCCCATAACATTATCTTGTGTGCGCATGGTAGAGACACAGTAGAATTTTTCTGTGGTATTCAATTGTACTAGTATATTTTTGCAGGACAAAATATAAAAACTTCTTGGAAATTGTTTTGTGGATCAACATATGCAAAGCTATTGTCTTTGTAGTAAAAGTAAAAAAGAAGCACAGCAGTGAGCCCAGATATCTGAAATACCAGGATTTACGTGTAAATTTTCAAGCTGTGGCCTAATTTTAGACTGTGTGATACTGTTTCAGCATTTCAAAATTAAAGCAGATTCCTTACGTTTGTGAGTAATTTTATGCTCAGAATCTGATAAACCTCACTGAATATTTGAGTGTTAATGACCATGTCATGTCATGTAAAATAAATGAAGCATGGATTAAACCTCACTCTTGAGCTCTCAGGTTTTGAATAACGTATTTTCCTTCTGTGTATGAGTTACAAAGTCTTCACTGTCTTTGGACAGTCTTTAATGATACCTTTAAAGCAGCTGTGGACTGTCTTCTGTTTATGTGGAGTGTTAACCATGAAGTGTGGCAGTTGCTCTTGACTATATTTAATGCCAGGTAATCTAGCATAAAAGTCAACAAATACTCTTCAGAGGTGTAAGGCTAAAGCCTCTTGGCTGCTACCGATGATTGCTAAAAGAACTGAGGAAAGTAAGTCTTCACTAGCAAGAGAGGAGCGTTCCCAACTTAGCAGGAAAACCGTAGTGAAGATAATGTAGTTGAAACAAAAGAATATGAGGAAATCAGATGTCAAGTGTTTACCATAATCTCATAATTCATGTGAAAAGTACTAACTACCTTGTCTTCACTTGGATTTTATCTTGTATTAATTAACTCAAGCTAATAATCCAAATTCTTATTCCCTGTTGTATGCCAAGACAAAGCAGTTAATCTCTCCAAAAAAAGGATAGAAGAATGAAAAGAATTACCAATTCCCATCATATCGGTAAAAGACTAGATAGGCTCATGAGAGCTGAGCCCCAACTTGGGATGCTTCTTAAATACAGTAAATGTATTTGAAACACAAAAACTGCCTTCTTGATGAAAGCAGAAAAAAATTTTGATCATCTGTCTGCAAAATGCATCAGTCTTGCATCAGAGGACCCAGGATTGGTTGTGTTTTTATAGCAGGCTTACCTGGTAGTGTAAAAGTAGTAGAAAATAGTGGTGTGAGTAGTGTAGAAAATGTTTGTGATAGTATTTCAGTTGATTCTAGTTGAGCTAAACCACTCTTCCCCTTCTGCAGGTGCCAACCGGATCGTTTTGGAAGACTCTAATATCTTGCAGCCTGTGGGACTAACTGTATTTGAAAACTGGCTGTATTGGATTGACAGGCAACAGCAGATGATTGAAAAGATTGATATGACAGGTCGAGAAGGACGTACAAAGGTCCAAGCTCGTATTGCACAACTCAGTGACATCCATGCTGTGAAAGAGCTCAACATTCAGGAATACAGTAAGTGCAATCCCTGTTTGCAAGTGCAAAAAGTGCCTGCGGGGCTCGAGGCAAGGAGTGGCAGCAGAGAGATGAGCCTGTTTTGCCTTGTCACTGATCAACATCAGTGCAGATCGAAGGGGCCAGAAGTTGGTATTGGTTTTTGTCTGTACATCGCCAGGGTGCAATTAAGTTTATTTCCTTCGGGCAGTTGGCAGTGGACTGGAAATCTATCACAAACCCAGCATCATGTTTTGTTGCTGATGACAACTTTATTGGTAGTCCCATACAGACACCTGGCGTTTGAGTGTCTGTAGGCACAGTGGAAACGTCCTGTTATCCCTAGCAGAGGATTTTCTGGATCACGCTAGTGAGTCGCTAATAGGTGTTTACGCCTTTTAGACAAGCACAGCTCTCAGGGCCTTCTACTAGCAGTAAACGTTTCAATGGACTGCCTGCCTTGAAGGCACGGTGAACAATTTTTGTTGGTGGCAAATCGTATTGAAAGTAAATGACAGAAGAGCAACGTTGCATTGCACAAAGGAAGCGTGTATTAAGCAACAATTTGTGTTGTACGTGGCTGCACTTCTAAAAGTTTTCTGTTTACCAGGATATAGCCTTTCCCCACACACATGCTTGAAACGGTGGGAGCTGGATGGTTAAAGCAGTGGAGCTGCCGTCGTCCTGAAGGAAATAGGCCTGGTTAATAGGCTGTGGTGCATACCTTGGAGAAATATGTAGAAAAATGTCTGGGGATGTTTAATTAAAGCATCAGTGCAGAGTACTACTAGTTTTGTTTGCTATTAATCTCAGTAAATCTGTCAGGAGTTCCAAGAGAAGTATGTTGTCCTTATTAAACATTAAAATGAAGAGACATATTTATCTAGAGCATGTTAATTTGAGTTTCGGAGACAGTGTGGAAGCTTCAGAACTCATAAATTAGAAAAGTTTACTTTTTTAATGGTCTTTGATAGAGAAAATGAAATATGGAATCCAAGGCGGCATCTTTTTGTATTACTAATGCTACTATTTTTGCTGCAGAATTAATTCTACCTCGCACAAGAAGCAAAACACTTAGAGTACTGTTAACTGTTTTAGTAGACCCCATGGCACGATTCTTACAGTGTTTCAGATCACAGACAGTTATCGATGTGCATGGTAGTTATTGATGTGTGTAAACGGAAAAAATGCACACAATAAAATGCAACTTTTTCAGGGTTGTTTTTAGTACTACCCTCCCCAGGGGGAAGGAAGTAATGAAGGGAGTCAAAAGAAATCACTGAAAGGTCAGAAAAGAGGTGGGGAGTTCTTGTCAGTACCTGTCTGTCTTATTTTTAAAATCACAGGACAACATCCTTGTTCTCAAGATAATGGTGGCTGCTCGCACATTTGCATCGTGAAGGGCGACGGCACCACGCGCTGCTCTTGCCCAGTCCACCTTGTTCTGCTGCAGGATGAGCTGTCCTGCGGAGGTAAATCCTTCCTGTGCTCTGTGTCACTGAGCTCTCACCTTCTGGGTTGGGGGTGGGAGGGCGGGTCACCATCTTTAGGGGTGGCTTCTGAGCAGAAGGAATGTGACAGTGCACCAAGTGCTGTTACACGCTTTTACACTCTTACCTCTTTGCTTCCCCCTCCCAGTTAAATCTACAAGTATTGAGAAAGAGTAAGAGAAGAGGAGAAATTCACTAGTTGACTGTTGAATAAGGATTTCTGCTCACACTTTCTACTTCATTTTTTAATTGTATAATTTTTATTACTTTTTTCTATCACTCTGTATATTCTCCTTTTTCAAATGGTGGTAAATTCTCATGTTCTGGCATATTGCACCATGTCTGTGCCATTTTATTCTTCTTTGCCGTACTCCTCAAACTCACCCTGTGCATGTCTTTCCGAACTGCAGTCCCAGAAGGGCGAGTTGCCTCCTCCATGGTGATACGGCCACTGTAGCCTACGCCCTGGTGTCTCCAAGGGTGGGGTTGAAATGGGGGAGAGGAGAGGCACTTTGGTGCTTGGGTCTCTTTGTGCCACCGTACTGAATGGATTTATTATGCAATCTTCTCGCCATCAAGGCGACGTGTGGTCTCACAATGGAACAAGAGCTAACATAATCCAGATATTTTCTCAGAGCAAGTTTAATACCAGGCCAAAAAGCGGGGGAGGAAAGGGGGATTAAAAAAAAGGAAAAAAATCCACACTTACTTACTGCATGAGATTAACAGTTACTGTAGTAAATGTTAAATAACAGCTAACAGCTGTGTTGAGATAGCGGGACTTGACTAGATGGAGCATTTTTTTGTCGTTTTAAAAGAATTTTGTCTGAACAGAGCTGTCGAGGGCACATAACTAGACATTGAGTCACAGTGCATCCATCTGCAGCGCATTACATCCTTTCAACATTTTCTATACAATGACTGTCAAACGTTAAAAAGAAAGTGAGCCATCGTTTGTGTATACACTGGTGTTGCAGGAAAGGACGAGTAGAAAAGTGTGTTGACTTTAAATGAAGACTTTTAAAGACCTACTAAGAGAAGGATGTAAGAGGCTGAAGTGGGAAGGGAAGAAAATAATTGTGTTTTGAGTGTGCATGTTTCTCTGTTCCTCTTGTTCTTTGTCTAATGAGCCTCCGTCGATGTGAGCCTGCATCAGTCGCACGGGGCTCAAGGTCTGCACAAATGACTCTGGAGGCAGTGGGGGTGGAAGTTACCTTATGACATGGCACGTTTATCAGCTGCTTGATAAATGAAAGCAGCTGAGCTCTTCTTGTCCTTACCTATCCTGATCTGCTGTTTGTTCACCTGGATTTTTAATTTTTGTTTGTTTGCTTGATTTTTAAAGAACCACCAACATGCTCCCCTCAGCAGTTCACCTGTTTCACAGGTGAGATTGACTGCATCCCGGTGGCCTGGCGCTGTGATGGTTTCACTGAATGTGAAGACCACAGTGACGAAAAGAACTGCCCAGTGTGCTCAGACACCCAGTTCCAGTGTGAAAGTGGACAGTGCATAGACAGTGCCCTCCGGTGCAATGGAGAAGCAAATTGCCAGGACAACTCTGATGAGAAGAACTGTGAAGGTACAGAGGATCTTTCGGAGTGTGATGAAAATAAAGCTGTCCTGGCAACACTATGATAGATACCGAAGTTATTGCTGAGTAGGATTTGAAAGGATCCGAGGTTCTGCTAGTTTTTAAACTGATCTATTGAATAGGAAATTATTTCACAACTCCATACTTTTGTTTCTCCACCTGTGAGATAGAAATAACACTGATCTCCTGCACAGTGATTTAAGCTCTGTTTGCAAAAAGTACTATTAAAAAGATGACACGTTTTTAAGCTCTAAAAACCTGGTAAGTGGAGATGAATTACAAAGTGGAACAAATCCTTGTCATAGTCTTTTGTGTACCTTGTACCGAGTAAAGGTCTTGGGATTGTTTATTTTATAATACCTGAACAAAATGAAGTTAAGCTTTTGTGAGTAAGTGGGAGTGAGAGACAGACGAGGTTTCTGGAGACCTCTTCTTCCTATAGAGCACAGCAAAAGAGAGAGTTTAAGCCATTGTTACAGAGGGAAGTGCTATTGCCGACACAATGAGAATTAGTTCCATTAATTTTGGACAGGACAGGTTATGCTGGTGGAATCTGAACTACCCCACGACTATACAATGTGAAACACGAGCAAATTTGCCCTTTCCCCACTGTGCCAGTAGTGAGGAGTTGTAGGGACAACTTGTAAGCTTGAAAGGATGCCCCTTCTCTATATCCTTTCAGTACATTTTCCTTCTTTGAAGAGATTGTCTAAGGGTCTTTGAATCAAGGCTGAATTTCTTTCCAAAAGATGTGCTCCAGCTCGAACAAAAACATACAGACCGATGCAGAATTTCCTGTGTGATGAAAAGTGATTGTTAGCCAGATGAGATGCTGACATCTGAAAATACGTTGTGCAAGTTAGTTTCCCAGTTGCCATCCAGCGACTGGACATATCAGACCAGGGGCTGTTTATCACCTTCAAAGTGGCCCTGTTATTCCGAGTATTCAAGTTGATTACAGATCAGAAAAGCCTTTAGTTTAACTTCTTAATTCAACTGAAGTCAGAAAGGATTTTTGGATTTATGAGAAACAGGAGGCAAAAATATGTGTAAACAACAGCAGCCAGCACCTTGCCTGCAGTACCTTTTTTTCCCAAAGTGGTAGTGTATTTTTTTGAGTGTACTGGCAAAGCTCCAGTTTTATCTTCTGTCTTTCATTTCAGTTTAAAAACATAATGTCAAGTGAAATACATTGTCCCATGATCAAGGAGTTTTCAAGGTTTACAGGAAAAGCATGAGGGCATTGAGAAACCACATTTATCTTTCTTAAACAATTTTATCATCATGGTTTGGCAGATTTATTTTTAATAACTTAATTCTTCTCTCTTATATTACAGTAAATGCTTAGAGTTGGGAATTCTTACAGTAATTTTGCAATAACAACCATGTCCTGGGATAAGTGCCTGTGTTCTCAGTGGCCTTCTGCTTCTGAGTTATTTTAGTCAAGGTAACTTTATCTTGTAGTGTGCTTATTGTAAATAGGCAGTAAGGACCAGGTACCCATTGTGCAATATCCTCAACAGAACACTGAATCACTTTTTCTGCATGGTTGGCATGAGGGATTTTGTGTGTCACTGGCTACTTCAAGAAATAAAGCTAGCAGCAGGCTAAGCTCTCCCAAGATACTCCTGATTGTATGCTTTGGTGTCTTGTTTTCTTAATCATTTTAAAGAGTAGAAGTCTTTGATACTGACTCTTGGTGTGTGGGGGATTCTCTTTCCAGTGCTTTGTTTAACCGATCAGTTCCGCTGTGCCAGTGGGCAGTGCATCGGGAAAAGCAAGAAATGTGATCACAACCTGGACTGCAGTGACAGCTCAGATGAGCAAGGATGCTGTAAGTGTAAAACCTGAGACTAGAGACTTGATTGCAGCCTCTGAAATTTGTTTCTTACCTTCTCTATGAGTTAGATTTTACTCTGCCAACCAGACTGAATTAATTGTTCCCCAAAAGAATGCTGCTGTTCATAACTGCTGTCAAGCAATTAATGCACAACATGGTAGAATAGGAATAACAAAAATAGCTAGTATTCTGAACAAGTAGTCTCTGAGGCAGAGCAGGCTATTAATTTTTCCACTTACCTTTTTAAACTTTTAAAAGAAATAAAAGGTTTGTTTTACTATAATCTGTTAGTATGCTGAGTTGGTGCAGTGTTAAAAAAATCTTTCTAGCAGCATGAGGCTTTTATATATAACTGCTCTGCTTCATGGTTTTCTCATCCAGAGAATTAATAGCAGGTGCTTTTAGAATCAGAGGAGCACTCTGTTTAAAGAGTAAACCTTCTAAAATTTCCTTTGTATCTTGAAAAGATGTAATTCTGAGCTTGATTTATGATTTGTAACATGTGATATCCCCTACCTTGAAATCTCCAAGGCTCTGCCAGAAAACCACTGCCTTTAAAATTCCAACTTGAAAGTGCATTTTCACTGTTGGTGCTTTAAAAGAAATTGTAAATAGGGACATCTCTTCTTGTGTTAGAGTGTATCACAGTTGACACACACATAACTTGAAAATGCAAAGCCGGAGTTGGACCCTTGATCTTAAGAAGAAGTAATAGGAGATGTTCTGTCATGCTACCAAGTTATTAGTGATATTATCACTATACAGACATGTATAGTTATCTTTATTATAGTTCATATATTTTCTGGTTTTGTAACAGAGGATGGAAAATTAGCCCACCCAGAGTAAGACTGCAGTTGTCACTGTCCCTCTTCCAGTATGATCAGAAGTCTGTTTACTTATCTCTGTAGACTGTGACAAGCTGGTTAAAGTGTGGGTTTGGTGTTCAGGGAGAAGAAAATGTGTTGAGGAAAAGACTTTCAGTAATGGATAAGATGTAAAACACTGACTAGAACAGGAAAATACTTTAAAGTCTGCTTTTCTTGTCAAATTCATGAAGCACAGGCAGGGGGTTGTCAGTTATTCCCAGAAATGTCATTGCTTAGAATGGTAGGGAAAGCCACTCATTTTGACTGTTGAATAATCGTTTCAGATACAAATTCCTCATAAGGATGGCACCTCTAAAGCTGAAGTTCAGCTATATCTGTAACCGTCAGTGTGGGTTGGATGTCGAGTACGTTAGGTAGTTTAATAAATGGCACCAAACTGAAAATTCATCATTGGTGCATCACCTCTACTGTTCAGCGTAAGTGAAAGTTACACAGTTGAGAAAAGGGAATGCCAGTCTGTTACATTGAGTGATAACCTAGGTGCTTATGTGATGAGGTGCAACATGAAAAGTAGTTGTCATTGTCTTTAATGACAAGAAAAAGCATAAATCGAGTTCCCAGCACAGTGCTGTCTGGAGTCATGGCTGCAAGTCTTGTTCATCCAGTTCAAAGGATAGCCCTGCCTGTCAGCACGAAGCAAGATCAGGACCTGGTTCATCAACCTCCCTGCACATGCATGTACTATTCATTTCCTGGCATTTGTGATTCAAAAAATTCTCTGCATGTGTGGAGAGAGTAGCACAGGTGGCCCTTTTGGACACTCAGAGTCTTTAAACGGACCTGTCCCAGTGCCTGTTTGTTCGTCCCGTATATTAATTTGAAAGCTGTTGTCTGCCTACAGAAGAGGAGGCTTCTATTTTTTCTGTGTGGAAAGATGTCAGGAAAACTGATGTTGGTACACGAAGCTGTTGGATTAACTTACACAGTCTGATTTTTCCTTTTTCCTTTCAGACACAACAGAGGAACCTGCACCACAGCCCAACAACACAATAGGCTCCATCATTGGTGTGATCCTTACAGTTTTTGTGGTTGGAGCAATGTATTTCATCTGCCAGAGGGTGCTGTGCCCACGCATGAAGGGAGATGGGGAAACAATGACCAATGATTACGTGGTGCACGGACCAGCCTCTGTACCTCTTGGTTATGTGCCTCACCCAAGCTCTTTGTCAGGGTCTCTTCCTGGTGAGTAAATAGTGTGATCCTTGTCCTGCTCTTTGGCACCACATAGTTGTAGCTGAGGATACTGTGCACATATGCAGAGGAGATGTCCGTTCCAGATGCATAACTCCTGGAAGTTGTTGGAAGCCAGGACCGTCAAGGCTTGTCACCATCCTTCTTTATATTCATGAGCTGCTATTCACAAGCATTTAGATACTTAGCAGAACCATAAGCTCAAATAGATACACGTGCCATGGGAGTTCTCTTCTTTTGCTACTAAAGAAGCCTCTTTTTGGACTATTATAGCATCAGAAGGTGTCATGACAATACAGGGTAAAATTACACAGAGTTATATTCATGGGACTTTAAACATTATGTAATTATTCTTGTTAGATCTGTAGACTGGGTTTGTATGCTTGTGGAACTTCCTGTAAAGTCTGTGATGACCAGCAATAACTGTGGTCTCAGCTTATTTCGTGTGATGATGAAGTTTCCAACACCAATCCAAGTGAATGATGCTACCACTGTTTAAAAAGTAAGATTTAACCGCAGTGTTGCACTTCATTTATATCATTGCTTCTGTATATATTGACTAAATATGTACTGTAACTTGTGGCTTTGGATCCAGCAGGTTCCAGTCAGAACACAGAGGTTCTGTTGAGGCTGTAACAGGGTTAAAATAATGCACCAAATTTCTTTGCCTTCTGTAATAACCTGCTTTCATAAGGAGAGTCTTTGAGCAGAATTTTCACCATTATTTTGAGCACAGTGGCATACCTCTCTGTTTCCCACTTGGACTCTCTGCCAGCGTGCTTCAGTCCAGTAGCAAAAGCTCACTTAACGGTGTGGAAATGAAAGAACACAAACCCTCTCTTCCCTCGCACAAATTTCAGTTGCTCGGTTGAGGTGGTCAGAGTCAGTTTCATGTTTTATTCTGAGGCATAGAAATAGTGCCTGAATGCCTGTTCTCTCAAGTCTCTTTCAGCCGTTCAAGTGAAAGAAATCTGTTTCTCTTCACACAGCTCTAGCATAGCCCAGTGCCAAGTCCTGCAGTTGAGTAGCTGATAAACAAAACCAACGTGCTTATTCCCTGACCCTCTTCATTCCAGTTGTCCATCAAGGAGCACTGAATTTGCTCTTAATACCAAGAAGATTAATTTTGGTTTTAGGAGTTGTGCTTATACTGCTGTTATCCTCTAGATTTTTTTTTTAAGCTTTCTTTTCTCTGTTTGCTTCAAAGAATGGAATATTGACATACATCTGTGTTCTTCTTTAGGGATGTCTCGAGGTAAATCTGTGATCAGCTCCCTCAGCATTATGGGAGGGAGCAGCGGGCCACCCTATGACAGGGCCCATGTCACTGGAGCCTCTTCCAGTAGTTCTTCAAGTACCAAAGGCACTTACTTTCCTCCAGTAAGTCATTCTATTATTCATAGACCTTTAATAACTTTCAGGGAAGTGCCAGTGTCTTTCTGAGGATAATTAATTGACAGATTAATGTTTTGTTTTGTTTTAGATTTCTAGCCTAATAAACTTGTTTAAATATGGAGTAAGTGATTTTGAAAGGGAAGGGAGAGGAGATTGTCTTCTTCGAAAACAGTATAGGAATTTTCTGTTAATTTTTAAAAGTTCTGAGAGAGCTGGGTGCCAGAAAAAGATGTTAGATTGAATGTCAGGAGAGATGAGAAAATCCCTATAAATGTTGAGCAGCTCTGGCAGAGCGATCTCCTTTCATTATACTCTGCCATGTGCCTCTGGAGGTAAGGCTGTGGTTGATTCTGTATAGACCTTTCAAGGAATTAAAATTAAGTTTTGTGTTCTGTGTCTTGCAAGTGACAGATAAATAAACAAGTGTCTTGCAACTCCATAGCATTCCTCTAGTCACAAATGGGTAGTGTGCTGCGCTAGATGTTATATGAAAGTTGGTACCAGCCCTAGAGGGCTCCCTGTCTCTTTACTTCTAGCATCAGTGGTAGTTTTTAGCTATTTTTATACGAAGTCCACCAAGCCACTATCAAGTGTTAAAAAATTACGTGCTCGGTCAGTGCAGGTTGAAATCTTCAACTGTCTGTTTTCAGTTCCGAGAATCAATCAATCATGTTATATCCTTAAATTAATCAAAATACTGTTTGTGCAGTAAGAGCATGCCTGTATAGGGAAGAAATGCTTGCCTTGGACAGCATGCTGCAAATATTATAAACAGCATAATACTTGGGGACTAGCAGAAGCAGACATCTGCCAGTTTGCCGAGGGCAGTGGTATCCCTAGTGACAATCTAGTATTGAACAGCTAGCTTCAACTTTACTTTCCGGTACTGGATATGTCAAAATAGCAACAGCAATCACCGTTTTTTGAGAAGAGCTTAGTAATAGCTTATATGGGAATAGCAAAAAGTGACATTTCCAGTGTCTGTTAAAGAACTGGGGAATAAACATGCAGTTCTTAACTTAAGGTTCCTATTAAGCAGTAGTAAAAATAAATTTATAAACTGATGTTGTCTTGATTCTCCTTCATATCTTTTTTTTTTTTAAACTGTGGCTTTTTTCTTTTTTTTCCCTTAGATTTTGAACCCACCACCATCACCAGCTACTGAACGTTCACATTATACCATGGAATTTGGTTACTCTTCAAACAGCCCATCCACTCATAGATCCTACAGGTAATTATTATTACAATAGCTTCCGTCAGGATCAAAGCAGTTAGTGTAGAAAATGCAGAATAAAGACAGCCTCTGCTCCATAAGAATTGCAATCAAAGGCCCTAATTCTGCAAGCACTAAAACAGGTGCTTAAATGGGTTCACATGTATCGTGTCACTGAAGCATGCGTATAAGTGCAGCACTGTTTGAGGTAAATCATACAATAAGTGGGTTAATGGTACACTCCCAGATATATTGCTTTAGGGGGAATGACAACACTCATCATAAAATTAGCTGAATGCCAAAAGAAACCTGGTACCATGATAACTTTGAGCCAAAAATACTTACCCTGGAATGAACCCTGCCTTTTTTTAGGCTTCTGTCATAAATAACTTGTTATGTAATTATAAAAAATGATAGGCAAAGACCATGCAGAGGAAAGTTGGCAATATAAAGGCAAGTGAGAAGTAACATTAATATTATGGCCTAGATAAAGCACAGAAATTCTGGTTTGACATATTAACGGTTAATATCTGGAAAAGGTTGTTAACCTTTTGCTTATTTTTTCTGGCTAATATTTATGGGCATACAAGCTTTATGTCTGTTTACTTGAATGTATCTTTCTCACCTTCCCTGTAAGATGCTTTTTAGAGTTCATTATCATTTTATAACTAGTCACCAAAAATAAAGAGAGACCTACTACCCAAGGGTGTAAAGGTTCCCCTCCCAAATCACTAGTAGATCTGGTCAATGGGAAGAGCGCGCTGTGTTTGTCTATTGGAAGAAGTGCCTCCCTAACACAGAGCCTTTGGGGGCTTTTGGATAATGAGGTCTCTGGGGCTGAAAAGACATCTCTTCTCCATTAGCAGAAAATATGGCCTCTGTTGTGCAGAAGGTCAGACCAGATGTTTATAATGGTCCCTTGCAGCCATATGAAAAATCTTTTAAAACGATGAGTAATTTTCTAATGAAATAAACCCAAATTTTGGCACCAGCATGAATCATGCTGATCACTGGTTAGCTGATGTGACTTTTAGTATTACAAATGGTATTAGGGATGTAGTGTAGGGTTGAATGTTTTCCGAATGCTCCCCCAGCCGAAAATAAACCCTGGCCTTGCTGTTTCTGATCTTCCTGTCTTTCCTAACGTTCTGACTTGAATATAGAGGAGCCGCATCCCCACCCACCCCCAACTACTGATTTTGATGCTGGCAATTGTAGCTACCATGCACCTCCCTTTCTAATTTGTTTTCTTTAAACTATCTTGGGCTCACTTTAAGAGATGTTTTGTGGTAGCAGCATTTAGGAATTCCATCCCAGTTACTGCTCTGGCGGGCGACTCTCCTGACTGCTATGAATGTGCCAGGTGATTTTCAGTCTACCTCTCCCTCTGGACTTGAAAATTAGCATCCATAAACTGGATAATAGAATCATAGAATATCTTCTCCATACAATTGCACCACAGCTATTTTTTATCCTGGTGCCTTTCCAGCCCCACTCTCTTAGTAGCAACATTTTCTACCTCAGCTAAGGCCTTAGGGAGCCTATTGCCTGTAGATAATTAATAATTAGAACCCCTTTAACTAGTTGCTATAATTTGATGCTGTAGCGCAAAGGTGGGCCTTCTGCAGGGGGGTTAGCAAGTTTGTGATGTCAGAGAGAGGAGAGCGTGATGCTGTGTATCTACTGCAGAGAGGTTGACCAGCTCTCTGTTTCCACCTTGGCTTATCCGCCACTTGCTTGTTCGCAGGCGCGTCACTTGAAATGCACAGTCTTTCTATATGCCAACGCTTTTCCCATAAATCTTCCCACTGCAGCTACAGGCCTTACAGCTACCGCCATTTTGCACCTCCCACGACGCCCTGCAGCACGGATGTCTGTGACAGTGACTATGCCCCCAGCCGAAGGGTCACGGCAGCGACAGCCAAGGGCTATACCAGTGACTTGAACTATGATTCAGAGCCCGTCCCCCCGCCACCCACTCCACGCAGCCAGTACCTGTCAGCGGAGGAGAACTATGAAAGCTGCCCGCCTTCCCCGTACACAGAGCGGAGCTACTCTCACCATCTCTACCCACCGCCACCGTCCCCCTGCACGGACTCCTCATGAGGGGTAGCCCCCCCGCCCCGTTATCTGCCTCCGCCGTGAAAGTGTAAATACAAAATGTTCTACTGGGGAGGGGGGAGGGAGCTCTCGGCGAGGGATGAGGTAGGACAGTGTACAGTTAAATGTTATTAAATGGGGTGGAGGAATACTGAAGATATTTGTACAGAAGAAAAAAAAAAGGATATTTATATATTTTCTTAAACAGCAACTGCTGCTTGTGCCATAAGAAGAAAAATTTTTGTATAAAAGAACCCAGACATTTGTACAAAAAGTTTTTATTTTTGCAAATGGAACACAAAAACATGCCTTAATCCAGTGAAGTGACTGAGCACATAAGGAAATGGAAGGACCAGGATGTGTTACTTGTCCAGCGAGGTGAGATGTGGAGTTTGTCAATACCAAAAATGTTTAAAGTAATTAATAATAAAGAAGTCCGTCTCAGAGCAGCATACCATAGATACTTGGAAGTAGCCAAATAACCTCTATGTTAACTACGGAGGGCCAGCAACTAAAGTTAAACTTGAAAACGCAGTCAGGACAGATATTAACCTTACACAAAGGGCTTTGTTTTCTACAGGAATACAGCAATCGTAGCAGTGAATCCAGAAAAATAATCACACACTTTTTTAAATGAATACACCTCTGTTTTTCCTTAATGCATTTACCAAACTAGAGCATTTAGAGCTCTCTCCTTGCTTCTGGAATTTCAATGATTTCTGTTGGGTATATTTTAAAGTTTGCTTTTTTTCTCCTGTTTCGCTTTTCCCGCCTCTTCTGCATCCTTTCTTCCTGCCCGTGTCACTTTAAGTCATGATATCCTTATTTAAAGTACAGCTAGAACTGGGCTGCTGTTAAATCTTTTTTTCTCCTAATTAGCCTTGTCATGCAGTGAGTATCATGCTATACATTACCTTCTTCATTTTGCCAACATGGTAGGATTCTGTTTTGTACCAGGTCAGTACGATTTTCACACAATTGACAAGGGTAATATGCATATACCTGAATGATTTTTAGTCCCTTAAAAAAGAAAACCTTATTTTGACCTAGTGCCCACAAAATGTCAAATATTTTTATACCACATATAATATAGACAGCATATTTATAAACTATAAATTTAACTGTGGATTGTTAGTTTTACTGTAAATGAATAATATATCCTTGCAG